TTCAGGGACTAAGAGGAGTGTTTGGGATGTGTGCACAAAATATTGTGTTTGCAATGAATTCAAAAATATTTTTTTTTCTTGTTTTCATAGTCTACTCCTATTAGAGCAATGCTACATTGAAATTAACTTGATTAAAAAGAAGTCTAACATTCCCAGTTAATGCTTGGATTTATTTTATGAATGAAACCCTGAAGAGTGATACAAAATCAATGGTCTTGCAAAGATTTGGGAATGCTGCTTAAAACTACGTCCTTCAAGATTATTTAATTCCATTTTGGCTTTTCAAGACTGTGGATGGACCAGCAGGAATGTGTGATACCAGCTCCCTTATTCCATTTAGCTGGATATCACCTTACCAGAAGTGTATCTGTAGGACATACTGGTGGGTTTTTGTGGGCAAGTGAGAAATTACCCACCAAACTAACCATGGCAGAGCAGGACAGAAATTTGAAATCTGTCAGAAGATGCCTCAAAACAATGCATATTCTGATAGCTAATTTTCATTTGCTTGCTAATTAAGGAAGACAAAGTCATTCCTGCTGCTCAGGAATGCTGCTCATGTTTTTTTAGTCTTTCTCTTCAACATAAATATTTCTTCTCTTTTTAGGTGTGGGTAAATCAGACAAGAATCTAGGTGGAAAGGCAATCAGACAGAATAAAATTATGAGGCTTTATAAATAATCCTGTTTTGAATATACTAAATATACTCAGAGAAGTTTTGTGATTGGATGCAGTGTATGTAAAATCAAAGGTCTAAGAGAAAAAATTGAAGACAATTGTCAGAAGCTTTTTGTTCTTGTGATTGAAGGCTAGAAAAAATGAGTTTCATATCAGCACTGCATTGTCAACAGTGTTGAATGGCCTGAATACTGAGGCAATTAAAAAAATTGTTATGAAAATTAGCTATGCTGGCCAGATAGAGAAAATAAAATTTAAATTACTACTATGGCTTGTTTGTGAAAATGGTAGTAAGAATTCATTATACTTACTCTTGTGAGAGCAAAACCACCAAGCCTCTAAATTATTTCTTACTGTTTTTAGCTTTTAGGTCCCTCCTTGAAGTTTAGAATTTTGCCAGGGAATTGTCCCATGTATTTTCAGATCAGGTTCTGAAAGTTTTTCATCCTATTTTGATCGTTATCTTTGTCCTGCTTTCTTTTGCAGCAGTTTACAATTTAGCTCAGTATTCCATCTGCTCTTCCCAAAGTACCAAAATAATATAAACAACACATTTGTCATGTGTTCATGAACAATTCTATTCTATCTCTTGCAAAGTGACTGCAGGCACAGAAGTGGGGAGTTTATCACCATGATGAGGTTATTTGATACGATAAACAGCTGGGAGATGAAAGCTCATCTGTTAAGAAAATGTTTTATCTCATGTTGTGAGACATTTTGAATATGGAACATGAGCTGGTAGTTTAAGGTCAATCCCTATATGAAAGTCAGTGCCTACCAGGAAGTGCCTAAAACATGTGCAAGGCTGGTTCAACTCCTTTCTCTCCTTGTGCTCGGAGCTGCTCTGTTTCAAAGAGTGCTGTTCAGGAATGTTACTGGATGCTCTCACACTAGAAGATAATAGTATAAAGTCTGTAGTATAAAGAATCAGCTGAAATTCTGCAGTTGCACTGGAGGATTATTTTTAATAAGTCCTCAGCTGGCATAATGTGCAAGTATTGCTTTATGTTTCTGAAAAGCTATCTACCTTTGATTCAATACCATCCTGAATCTTACAATTTGATGCTGTGACTACTACCAGCTTGCAGATCCCTAGTTTAAATTACCTCTTAAGAAATTTAGTGTATCTGTTTCATGTGGCTAATTTCTGTTTTCACTCTAGCAGAAGAAGAAAGAGGAGGAAAGAGGAAGAGGGAGTCACTGTTTTGTGATGACAGGATAAAATGTGTTTCTTTAATTCTTCCTCTGCAGACCTAAGGGGAATTTTGGAAATATTTTCCTTTTGAGAGTTATCTCCACTGATTTTCTCCTTGTAATAGTGCTTAACATTTTGAATGCTCAGCATCCAAGTAAAGGACAGTATATATGGATCTCTTGGGATAGCATGTTTTAGCTGTAGAACATCCAGATTTCTAATTTTAAACTTAATGGATAGAGTTGACAGTTTTATTATCTGTTTTTTCCTAGTGCTTTTATTTTTGTGTGGAAAGATTCTGATCTCACAGTTCTACAATCAATTTTGCTTTGGCATCTAGTTCATGTTTTCCCAAGAGGCATAGTTAGTTCTTGCTGATCACCCCTCATGGCTGAAGGAAAATGCAATGTACATTTTAAGACTTTTTCCTGAAAAGTAGCCTCTGTGCGATGTTTACATAAGCAGACTGCAGTGTACCCTGTTTTTTGAAGGCATTTCTGATACAGTGGACAAAAACCATTACCTGTCACTGTTTGTAATAATGTTGGGGTGGGTTTTTTTTATTCCTTTTTTTCTTTTCTTTATTACATTCTGCAGTGTTCTTTTTTGGTTTAGGAAGATACTGATTATAGACATTCTGCAATATTTTTTCTCTTGCATCTGAGCATCATGTGAATTTTATTTTTTTTTTTATAGAGGGACTTTGAGAACCATGGGTCCTAGTTATCCCTAATGTACTAGATTATCTGGTATTTTTCTAATAACTGCTTATGTCTTAGCCCCATACAGCTATCTTATTTCTGTTAATACTATTTTCATCTCCCATATTCACAGTGCAGGATTAGATTGTACAGGCCTGTTTTAAAATTATTTACTGATTCACCTTTATTTTGATGCATGAAACTGTGCATTCTCAAAAATCACACTGTGCTGTGGCATAGAACTTAGGTTTTATTAAATAATTTTATGTAATACTTCTGGAGTAGATGTCCTGTCATGCACAGCCCATTAGATACATCAGGAGATTCCTCTGTCTCTTGTTGGTCTAAACTGCATGTAATCCCTGAGATCACATATGCTTATTCAGCATGCTAATCTGCCAAAAGAGAGGTTAGCTAACATGTGGCCATTTCATTGTTGCTGCCTTTGGCCAAATTGGTGTCACTCTTTAAGGAATTGGACTGATTCCTGTTGCTGAGTCTGGCCTTGACAATATGCCTATGTTCACTGCTTGTTTCGTTCTGGTCTCACTGCAGTGCTCTTTCTTTGATCTTTCTGTGCTTTTAGGCCTGTTGTGCTTCTGTTGCTGTTTAAATTCTAGGGTCTCCTAGCTAAATTAGAGCTCTGGCTTGCCTGATTTTTTTCCCATTCCCTTTTGCTTGAAAGACTTGTGTATCTTAGATCCTTATCTAATCTGATTTCTAACAAACAAAGTTGAGAAGTTCAAGATTAGAGGCTCTGTTAGAATGAATACAGGAACTTTCCCCCCACTTTAATGCTCTGTGATGTTCACCCTGGACAATGCATTCTTCACAATTAATGTATGCAATTTTTCTTTAGAAGTCTGATTGATAAAAAACTTGGACTAAAAACATATATGACAGAAAGAAAGGCAAATGCAGAGCCCTGTTGCTATTCCCACTCCCATCCTGTAGCTTTTGTCTCAATTAAAGCATGAGTATACAATTTATGTACTCCTAAGGAACCAAGACCTTGCAAAGCAAAAGTGAAGATGATGGAAAATATATTTATTTCATTGACATCATACCCATGTTCAGAGGCTGCTTCCTTTCATCTCTCCTCTACCTTTGAATTGGTCAATCTGCCATGTCCACTGATACTGCTTTTTGTCAAGGAAGCTGTGCCTTTGATATTGCCAGATTTAGATTTTATCCCATAGATTTCAGAAAAACATGTACACTAAGTGGTTTGCCTTACTGTTTGGTTATTTCTTTGAAAACCTTTCCATTTAAATGCAGAGAGACATAATTTGTCCAGCTGCTCAACCTTGCCATCAGGGACATGTTCCAGGGATAAGCAGGATTTAGCAGAGGTTAAGGGGGTATGTCTGTACAAGAGCTACTTGTTAATATATTAGTGACCTATCACAGAAGGATTCACTTCTGGCAGGAGCTAAGTGCGGGCTTGGTGCATCAGCTGATCTCTGACAATAAGCTCCATTCTAAACTACATTGCTTGATCTTTTGAGGCTCATCAATTTCTAGAACAGTATGTATTGCTTTTTGAAATAGCTAAGGTAAATACTTAATCTGATAAAGATTTAATGGAGGAAGTCCTGTATTCATAGTAACTTTTTTTGATCTCAAGCAAAGTGCAGTGGAACTACAATGTTAGTTTTTAGTACCTTAACAGCTTCTACAGAAATATGCTTTCTTTGGCATAAACTGTATAGCTGACATAATCTGTGCTAGTTATGTATTGTATATTAACTGCAAACATGGGATGTGGTATAATGAAATCCAGAGCATATCAGAATTAAATTTGGCATTGCTGCAGGAAAGAGCCAGTTAATGTCCTTGTGTAATGCTTATGTAATAGATTAGATTCTCTGCCTGACTGTTCTAGTTGTCTGTGGTGGTATATAAAAAGCTTGTCAGCTTGCTAGTACTCAATTAGCTCATTCACCACGAGTAAACTAGTTTTCTAGCTTATAGGAGCAAAGTACTTCCAATCCTCTAATTGGTTTATGCATATAATCTTTTCCACATACCAACAAGTGCAAAAGTTGACTGGCTAATAGAATTGGAGAATAAAGGGAGAGAGGGGGAAAAAATACAGAAAGATCTATAAACTCTATCTGTATGGCCCACTGTTTATTAACAACACCATTTGTTACTCCTTCAGTTCTTTTTGGTTACTTGAGACAACAGATAAATCTTAACAGAGAAGAAAAGGGATCATAGTCATCTAATGCATAAAAATGTTTGGTTTTCAAGATACACAGTTGCTTTCAAGCTCTCAAACTTAATTTTTTAATATATATTATTTTAATTTCCTACATATTTTCTTTTTAATGTTTTTAGAGGATAAAAGTAGGCTTTAGTTGTCACCTGTTATAAGTTTTTATTAGGAAGTTGTACATTTTATAAAACTTACAAAACAGGTAAAAGAGGAAATTCTCTCTTTAGAAAACATGTTTGGAGATACCGTGTCAATATTAGTTCAGGGTCTTTGAAAAAATTATGCCTTATAGTCTATTTTATGGCATAAGAGATGACCTTTTAGGGCTTTTAACCAAAAGGTGCAATAATCTCATGATAGTGTATTTAGTGGACCTTCAAAGAATTTCTTCAAAACTTTAACTATGAACATTGTTAGGACAGAACGAAGACAGTGCTGTGCTTTTGTTATTGTCTGGTTCCAGGGCAAAAGCACTGTGTCTGATGAGAGATGCTATCCTGAGATGGGACATGTACCTTCAGCTGCTTCTCCAGCCTTTTGTGCTTGTCTTTGAGACATCAAAAAATGCAGCAATAATACCTCTTCTAGAGTTAACCAGGACTATGGTGAGGCTCCACTTTAAATTTTGTTATTTCAGCCTTTTGTCTGACTTCTCAGCCATGCAGAGTCTTACCATGAATAAAAATGTGGGAAATTCTTCCTTCAAAGGATCAAACTTTCAATGCTGAGGAAAACTTGAATGTTTTGTGAAGCTGTTGGTAACATCTACTTCATGTTCTGCTTTATTTAATGTAAGCTCTTCTTAAAACTGCATAATTTTCTTTTGAGATGCTGAGATGTTTTATAGATATTTTTCATCCAAATGTACATCTTCTAGCTTGCTCATCTCGTAGCTAATGCATGTCTAGAAATTTTTCATATATGATCATAGATAATAATACACTTTCAAGTTTAAGGATCAGTCTAAGAGTAAATATTAACTGAAAGCTTAATTCTCCTGTTACAGGTTAAGCAGATCCTTGCTACATGCAGAAGAGAAGGTAATTTTCTTAAAGAGTGTTTAATAATTCAAATTTGAAATATCACATCAAGTTTCAATTGAAAGGCTTTGTGGTGAAAATCAGGGCCACGGTTTCACTTCACCTATGGTTTTAGCACCTTTTAAAACAGAATAGCTCAGAAAATAGGTTGTATTATTACAAAAATGGCCCGATCAAAGAAAAAAATGTATGTTCCTGTTGCAGCATGACCAAGTACACTTTATTCTGCCAAAAGCTTTGCTCTGTGCCAGTGAACTTCCTTTGTTCATTGGTCAATATCTTCCACACAGGCAGTTTATGTAACTGATTTCCAAGATATCCAGTGTAACTCTCTGAAAGAGCTGCACCTTCTGGGAATTCTCAGGCTGGATACCTGGTTCTGAGTGTTACTTGAAAAGAATGAAATGTCTTATGGTTTGCCTTTTCCTTTGAGTTTCTTTGCGTCCTTATAGTCCTAGAAATGTTTCTCAAAGAAGCTGGATGTGTTGATTCTCCCCAAGCACACTGAGTCTCAGAGAAAATACCTTCACCTTGGAGAAGAGAGGGCTCCTGGGAGACCTCATTGCAGCTTTCTGCTGCTTTAAAAGGGACTTACGAAAAAGAGGGAGAGTGACTTTTTATATGGGCACATAGTGACAGGGCAAGGGAGAACAAAACTACTAGTTTTAAACTACTAGATGAGAGATTTAGATAGATGTTAGGAAAAATTCTTTACAGTGTGGGGGGTGAGACACTGAAGCAGGTTGCCCAGAGAAGCTGTGGATGCCTCATCCCTGGAGATATTCAGGGCCAGGTTGGATGGGGGTCTGAGCAATCTGGTTTAGTGGATGGCATTCATGCCCATGGACAGGAGTTGGAACTAGATAATCTTTAAGGTCCCTTCAAATTCAAGCCCTTCTATGATTCTTGAAGGCTCTGCTGGTACTGACCTGGTCCGAAAATAAAAAAAAATCTGAGAGCTTCCATTCCATCTGAAAATGCAGGAGGCTTTATTTTCCACGGAGCAAGGTGGTGACTGAAAATGGTGTTAACCTTAATGGTGCTCCTTTGACTGTGCTTTATTGCTGTTGCTCACCCCCGTCCCATTACTCAGGGTTGATGTGTTCCTCAGATGGGAGCAACCAGGCTGGTGAGCGTAAGCAGAGGGGAGAGGAGCACGGCCCAGCAGAGGGAAGTGCTGGGATAGCCAGGGAGCAGGACTGTGGTGTCTGGGCATGGTGAGCAGGGCAGGTCTGGCCAGGCACACAGGGTAAAGTACTGCCCAGCCATCACCAGGCAAGTCTGTAGGGATGGGGCAGGGCTGAAACCAGGCTGGGGAGGCAGCCTGCATGTCAGGGTCTGTCCATGGGGCTGGTGGCCAGACACAGGCACAATCCACAGCTCATGTGGGAGACATGAGCAGTTGTGGCTCAGCATCAAGACAGCATCAAGACAGCTTCTGTGAGAAAGGGGAATTGGCACCAGTGGAGCATCCCCACAGCACCATCAGGAGGGCTCTGCCCAGGGTCACCAGAACCCCTACAGAGGGATATAAATGTGTCTCTAGTAGAATATTTCTAGTGATTGATGCCTTTCTGTGCAGTGTCCAAACTTCATCGCTGCTCAGCAATTTCCAGCACTAATTCCATGCCCATTCCTAAGTGCTAAAAGTTCAGGCTGCTTTCTTATGGGACAGAGAATGTCTGTTGCTGTGGCAGAATGCTTTGGAGAGAAATAAACTTGGTGACTTGGAGTTTGGTTCTGGTGATAGACATGGGAGAAGTTATTTGAGAGACAGATTCGGTTTCTGTGGACTGTTAGTCCAATGCTGTCTTTAGAGTCTGAAGGTTACCATATTAGCAACACTGCTTGCTAGCAGTGGTCCACCATTATGCAGTCATTTATATCCAGTAGTATTGAAAGGTTAAATGTTCTCCTGCAGTGCAAAAGTGAAACATGAGTCTTGCTTTAAGGTCACACATTGCTTTATCTGATACAGCGGACAATATATTGCAAACAGGAAGGATCCCAAGCCATTCATCTTTTGTAATGCTTGTCATAGGGAAGAAGTCAAATGGATTTTACAAGCCTGTATTATGCCAAGCATTTTGAAGACCACTCAAGACTGACAGAAAGCTTTTTTGAATGCCAAACCTCTTTGGAAAGTTCCACATCCTCTCATATTCTCATAGTTATGATCATGTATTTATCATAATTTAGCAGATATTCTTTCATGAATGAATGGCATAGTTATAACAAGAAAATCTGTAAAAATACATTCAATTATACTAAATATCCCATTTAAATAATTAAAATTCATCAGCAAAAAATCAAAATAAGTGTGCAAGTTCATGATGCAGAGACTTCTGTGGTGCTCTCTTGCAGTACAGGAAAGGATAATGAACTTTGTCGTTCTTGATTTTCATACCTCTATCATTTACAGACATTTGTTTGGGTACAAGTCAAAATAAAGAGACTGGGCTGTCCTTTGTTTAGTGTCTCTGCCCTGAAAACAGGGATTGGCATCCATGAAATTTTTTAGAGACTCTGAGAATGAAAGCCTTTTATAAAGAGAAGATGGAAGTTCTAATTGTGGGAGTAAGAATACTTATTTATGACAGAGGTTTGCTGAGGTTCTTTGTTGACTCTTCAGCAAAATCCTACACACCACAAATACAAAGAAATAGAAATTTAAGTTATGTTGGATCTTATGAAAAGGTGCTCTTCCTCTTAAATAGTACATATTTTAAAACTATTTTCTTAGAAGAAAGGTTTTCCAGTAGCTATAACAAGCTGTCATCAAACTAGGCAAAGAAATACAACAAATCTTTGCTTGACACTCAGTCATTGAAACTGCCCTCTGATGAAAAGGAAGCTTACTGATTACTTATTTACCTCTGCTCTTGAACTTCCTCTATATCCTCCTGTCCCTGTCTTATGATGTGCAAATACTAGGAAATGTGGTACAAAATAACTGGATAAGTATGGGAAATGAGCAGTGGCCCAGTCTCATGTGTGTTTCAATATCTAGTCTCAACTTGCTATAGGGCTTGTCGTTATTAGACATCTGGCAAGGAAAGGTCAAGGTGAGGATTTTCTGTGTATCCTTAAATATCGTATAATTATACAGCTGTACCCTTTTTCCCCACATTCTTGATAGTTTGTTCTTGAGAAGATAATGTATCTGCCAGTACTAGCATGTACAGGAATTTGTGGATTAAAAGTTTTGCAGTTATGTTTTTATCCTTAGAAGCCAGAACTGTAAGAACTAGAAATTAGTATTCAAAAATACTTTTTACCAGTCCTCTGCTTTGCTCAGAAAAGAAAAAAAAAAAAAAAGAAAAAAAGAAAAGGCTGCACTTCACCCAAACCGGAGTAATTTTTACTCCTTTTGATTAGAATTAATTTGAACTTCAGTGACATATTTTGAATATATTCTCACATCTTTCAGGCATTTTTGGAGGCATTGTGAAATAATGATCACCAGCATCTCTGATTTGGTTAAGATCAGAATATTTGGACCAGCAGTGTCCATGTCAGTGCATTTGCATTTTTGTTTCTTTGCATGTCAAAAATTTGAGGGTGAAAGATGTGATTGACTTTCAGCCAAATCCTTTTCATCTCACCTACATTTAGAGGAACTCATTACTATCAGTCATGGATTTCTGATTATTTTCCCCTCCTCTTCCAGTTGTTAGTGTTTTTATCCATTTCCTATCTGTTTAATTAGGTATTTGTAGACCTGTAAGTCCCTGTGCAGACTTGGTGTACTGCAGCTAAAGGATCAAATCAAGTGGATTACATTTCTAATGTAAATAGTTGAATTGTTTCCAGTTTAACACATATTTATGGTTTATCTTAGTTAACAAAAAATCTGTAGAATTACTAGCAGATTATAACTATGGCAACAAGAAGAGAGAAGATGGAACAATTTCTTTTCAGGGTGTAATAGGCAAATGAGTCTCAGATTTTGTTTCCAATGCTGATACTCTGTTTAGAAGTCAGAACCATTAATATGTGATATCAGAAACATTTGGCAGCCTCACTTCTATGAAATAAATACGATGTGAAATCATAGCATGATTAACAGTGGTTGTTAAACAAACTTGTGATTTGGAGAAATAGTTGACAAAAGTTTTGGTGAAATTCGTGAAATCACAGAGAACGGCTCCTTCTTTTTTATGTGGTTGAAAAACAATCGAAGAAAATAATTTAATCAGTGCCAAATTAAGCTATTACAACATGGAAGTAATTATACTTTTAATAGCAATCAACAATTAATTATTCACAAATTTAGAGTTATTTTAATGATAATTATAACAATGTGTATACACCTTCCACTGCATACAATACAAAGGTCCATCTTCAAAAATAATAAAACTAAACACTGAATTGCTCTAGTGAACCCGATGAAACTTTAAGCCCTTTATTTCTTCTCAAAGTGAAAAGCTGTGTCAGTGATTATTGTCATTATTAATCATGGCTTCAGTTTCCTCTTTTAGAGAGGTTTTTCTCTACTGAAATGTTCTGTACAACCTGGGTCTCTCTCATAGGTTCTCTTGCAAGTCTGTGGATGAGTTATCCACCAGCAATTCCAGGTTCAAAGGAGACAGTGAGTTGGCATGGAGGAGAAACAACTTACAGTTCTGTCTGCTGGTCATGAACACTTGGAATCCTCTGGGCTTCATCACAATTTTGGTCTCTTGAAAAAAAAATACTTTTTCCATTCACTTTTCTGTGACTGTTATTTTTCTTTCCTCATCACTGAGAAAACAAAAGTCTCACCCTAGGGCCTGACAGCTCTTGTGTAGCCACTGCCTGTGGCATTCTGTGTTTCCCAGCTTATTGTGATTATTTAGCAAAGTCATAAGAATCAGGCCAGAGTTCAAGTTAGACTAATGCATCCTCCTACTGGAGGAGAGAAAGCTCAATGCCTCAAGATGAGAGATTCCACTGTCTCATAACTGCTACCTCTGATCGTTCTCTCTCAAGTCAAGTCAGCCCTTGCCAGCTCAACAGCAAGAACATGAACCTGAGCTCTACCTGGGGATTAGAGAAAACTAGGACAATTGAAGGTTTTTCCTTCATAGCTGTGCTGTGGTGGAATGGCTCTTTCTCCCTAGGAACTTCAGCCAGCCAGGTAGCATTGCCACTAGGGCTGAGCAAAACAGCTTTACTGCAGGTAGCAGAGAAGGGCTGCCCACCTCTACGACCAGGAAGCATTTGATTCATCTGCTGAGCAGCACCTGGGTCAACAATATAATTATTGTGATGAGACATCCTCATTCAGCTGAAGACAATCATGGAAACCCTGTGGGAAACTAACCCTTTTGAAGAGAATAAATCAGCTCTTTTTTTTGCAACTGATCTTTTGTTCAGATTGTTCGTGGTGTTGGGGAATAAGCTGGTCACCAGCGAGCACCAAGCGGTGGGACAGAAGGACAGTGTAACTCCAACACTTTGTTGGAGTAGAGATGGAGGAGGCAAGGAGAGGCCTGCAGGCAGGTTTAGAGCCTGAAGCTCATTTAACATAGTTTTACAGAACTGGTAGCTGAGAAGAAAGTGGGGGGAAGCAGATCTCCCACAGGAAATCCCACTGTTGCAGGCAGTGGCTTTCCTTATGCCACAAATCTCTAGGCTTTTTGCAACCTCTGATGACAGGATTTGTGGGGTGAAAGTGCAATAGCAGCATGGCCTCCTGGTCAACAGTACATACACAGCAGTCAGGTGGATGGGTATTTCTTCCATGTCTCCAAACCCAGTGTCCAAAGGATAGGCAAACGAGGTGACCCTCTCTTTCTTCTCAGGCTGTTCCTCCAAATGAAGAGTGTCATAAGGCCCAGGGGCATTTATCCACATTTCTATCCTTGTTGCACATATTGTGTCTCATTGCATTCACCTAGGTTTCAAATTCCTTCCCTGTCTTCTAACAATGTATCTAGTCTTTATGTTCTTCTGTGTCCCAGGATGTTTCACCACTGGAATTAAGGACCTTATCCATGTTTAAAGTCAAAAGCCTGGATCTGGTGAATTGTAGAGGACTGTGGCTTTTTTACTTGTGGGTGAGCCCCATTTCTGCTTTGAGGACTCCTTTCTGGAGTACCTGTAGCCTCTTTTGACTGGGGAGGTTTGGTTAAAATTTAGGGGAATGAGTCCAAACAGTGTTTGAGAAGAGTACCAATAGCTGAGACAGAGGACAAATAAATGTACCCAAGTATGGGTGAGTAAGCTTGGCATTTGGGCTTTTTTTGTTTTGCCAGGCTTGTTAGTAGGGGTCTTGGTTGTGACTTCAGCATACATTCAAATAACTAAGTACAATTCAATTTTTTATATAATCACATCATATTTTAGTTTGTTGCAATTAATCTTACTGGGATTTGAGCAACAAAATGCTTAATTTTGTGAGTTTTATGTATCTGTACTGAAAGGAGATAGGCTATGTATTTAATTAGGAGCTTTAAATTAAGAAATAATAGCTAATGAATCTGCTGAATCTCCTGACAAATCTGTATGTGACTCAGATGGAGTCTGCTCTTCCACCACATCTCTTGTGGAGAAGTCCTGGCTTTTGTATTTTGTTTGCAGAATGAGTAGTGACCTAAAAGCTTTTTTTGTGGAGCTGTGTCTCTTGTTTCAGATGTTGCCATGTAATTGAAAAGGTGTTCTTTTCGGTGGTGCCCAGAGTACTGGTACTTTATGGTTATGCCTGACCGTTTCAAGGTTAGTTGTCTCAACCAAAGAAAAAAATTACGAAAGCTTTCAGTTAATCCACCTGCACACTCATGCATATTATGCACTTCCCGTTGGAACCTAAAACAAAACCAAACCAAAGCAAATGGAAGGAGGGAGCCCTGAAGCGAGCCTTGCTGTGCGTTGAAAAGGCTGAGCAGAGATGAGCAGGAGGAGCGGCTGCTGCGGTCGCTGGGTCGCTGCTGCCACCCGCTGGAGCTGGGCTGGGCTGCCCGCCGTGCTGCTCCGGCCTTCAGGGAGAGCCAAGTGACTGAGGTGCAAGCCGTGTTTTCTGGAATTGTGCAGGAAATAGGAATAATTTGTCTGAAGTACCCTGATACTCTTTTAACATCGACGGTCTTGTCTGACAACTGCTACATTAATACAGATCTAATAAGTTTTTTGATTCATATTTTCTGTTTAGTTTTTGAATGGTTTTGTTAATTTTGTTCTCATGTAATTGTGAGGATAGTGTATATTAAGGTTAGTGATATTTCATTGGCAAAAAATTCCTTGCTGGAAACTATCCCTTTTTGTAAAGTCTAAATATAAAAAAAACATTTATCTGTATAAAAAGACTCCCAGTTAATAATTGTTTAGACAGCAACAAGCAGTCCACCCCAGAGCAAAACAATACCAGTGAGACCTGAGAGGCTGAAAAACTTTCAGCTGAAACAGAGACCTCTCCTCTTCAATTTACCCAGATGGCTCAATCTCTCTAAACTCCAGAGCAAACACATAAGATTGAAAGGATGTTTTGAAGGTCAACATGTTTTGAACTTTCCTGGTGAAAGTATTGCAAAATCACTATCGAGCACTCTGCCAGCATCTCCCATTATTTGTAGATTGAGTTTGATTTTGCTGGGCACTGGCCTTGTTGCAGCACAATGTCATTTATGAACATTTTAGGCCTTAATTGCCCTTTAAAATGTATTTTAGGATGTCTGTGGTTTAATACAAAGATGCACATCTATTTAACCTCAGAATATGTGTGAGCTTTGTGACTCTACTGCTTATTATCTAACCTATTTTAAGGTACTGCTTTTTTAAGGAAAAGTTTGCTAGGATAGGACAGAGATTACACAAATATGAGTTATTAGATACTATAATGATTGGGTATAATCACATAATAATGCCAGGTTTTGAATAGCAACCTTAAGCTGTCTTCTCCTTTATTACATTAAATGTTTTACCTTTCTCAAATTTCTTGGTCTCAGTGTCTGTCTCAAATCTCACAGTTGTATCCTTTATCCCAGACATGGCTTATGTTACAGGCATCCAGGACTCCATTACTTTCTTATAATATATATATTATGTTTTGGTTTTTTTTCTTGAAGTTGATTACTGTAGGACTGAAGTTACTGTCCTTTATTTCTATTTCTGGAAGCTAACTAAAGCAGAGGTGAAGGATATTGGACAAATAATTGAATTCCTCATTTAATGGGAGTACCATTTTCTATTTCTGCTGACATGATCTCTCTGGCATCCTTTTAGTGTGACATAGACAGGAGGAGTTAAAATGAGTAGGAGAGTTCAAGGTGGAATTGGGGTGGGAGTTGATTTATTTCTCTCCAAAATAAATAGATCAGATTCTGGTTGTGGTAGCCTGTTACATCTCAGGATAAAAGGTTTGATCTTTTGCAGCCATGCTGAGTGCTGCTGACAACTATGAGATTTCTTATGCAGTTTTACAGCACATCTGGGTGTGACTGGTGGAGAGAGGTGATAGGAAGTGGTACAGGAGGGCTTGGCAGCCTCTCTGCCCTCACTGGTGGGGTGATGTTCCAATGGAGGGGAGGAGGATAGTCAAGGTGCCCCCTGTATCTTTGGGTGTGTTTGTGGGACGGGTCTCCTGCTTCACATGGTGCATGTAACAGAGGCTGTGGTTGGAAGGCAGGCAGGTAAGGCAAGTAAGGAGTGTGTTTTGAATCCATGTATTTTGGAGAAATGTAATCTTTTTTGTTGTTTAAAAAGCCGTGGAAGAAGCTCTTAACGAGGAAGAAGGAAGCTGCAAAGAAGTGAAAGAAATGCAGGCGAGCAGTCGCACGCTGTAGGGAAGCTGCAGTGCTGCCTTGTCCCACGGTGTGGTGCTGAGAGAAGCTGCGGCTCTGCAGCAGAAAGCAGGACTGCCTGCACTGCCCTGTCTTGAATTTCTGAGCCTCCACCAGGCTTCACAAGAGCAGAGGCATCATCTCCCTCAGGCAGAACAGCAGTTCAGTGTCCATTTCTGTGATCGTCTCTTAATATCTTGTTAATAATACACTTCAGTATAGGCAATAAGTCAGTCATTCTAGACTCAGGAGTTACTTTTACTCGAGTCTTTCTAATAGTTTCATCACTTTATAATCCTGTTTTTTCTGGTTTTGTTTTCTCTTCTTCCTTTCAGTGACTGATCTTTGCTAAAGTTTGATTGCTTGCTTTGTGTTTGTCTGAGACTGTAGCTTTACAAATTATTTTACTAGTGGCTGATCCAGGTACGGACCTTGTCCCCCCACCAGATGTACACTGTCACCTTGACTGTTTATTCTGCTGTAACTGATTGCTCAATTTGCTCAAGTTTTGTAATAAAAAATTTCCTTTTGTAATGGAGATTTTACCCTACATATGTACCTTATGCTGCTCTTCTGTTTTTAAATTTATGATGGCATCACAGGTCTGTTTAGGAGAGTGGTGAAACAAATACTTGTATTTAGCAAAACTGAGATAATGGTAACTTCAGCAGCTGGCTGATTAATTATGTGATAACTGGAGGCAAAAGAACATTTCTGTTCCTTGTATATGACCCTATATATTTTCTATATATTCCTTACATGGGAATTTTTTTTTGTTTTTAACAATATGATGTTCTAGTTCAAGGCGAAATTTTGGCAAAGGAACTTTGCAGCTCTTCACAGGAATTTGATCCCTGTCAGGAACATTTGTTCACTTTCAGAAGCTGCCATCCACCACTGTGGTGTTGGTCATGTCTTGTAAGCCTCGTGAGATAAATGTTTGAATTACTTCTGTGCCTGCAGACAGGAGACAGCCTTTCTAAACACATTGCATTGCTCATGCACATATACTGTTTTTCAGGAATGATGGGATAACATTAGAACTTTCACAGGCTGAAACTCTGTGTTAGCAATCAAAAGGAAGAAATATTGTAAATTTTTTATGAGTTTAATAATGGTCCGAAAATAATTCCACTTGGTCTTTTGGCACTAGAATTGCTTTGGGATCCAGCCAGTATTTCAGAGCTTCCATGTCCGAAAAAATTCAGTGCTGCAGGCCATTTTTAGGATGTAAAAATTACTGTGGGTGGCTCATCTTTATGTGGGTATTCAAAGGATATGCAATGTCCTGATAATTTTCCTTCAGAATCATAAAAAAAGAAACATCAATGGCAACTTTTTAAGACTGATTAAAATTGATGTGAATAGTCGTGAGGTCTTTCTGAAAAGAAGGTTCTCCTTGCTAGTTTAGGACCACTACAAAAACATTCCCAGGACAGTCTGTCTTTCTGCAAACACATTACATATTTTGTGTTAAAATTTCATCCTTGTGAGATTTTATCAGTCATTATGTTGATTTGTTTACCCACTATTTGTGTTGTCCTCAAACTAATTTGGCAGTAGGTAGCTCTCTATCTTGAAGATTATTTGGAATTGCATGTTGGATCAGAGCACAGTGAGTTTAACCCAGTCAACAAATTGAATATATCGGAAGTAGAATGTGATAAAGTAAAAACATTTGTTTATTGTAGATTGTATTGGTCTTTCACTAAAATAGAGACTCTTGTGACAGGAACACTGATATTATTAGTACATGATTATTTCCTGTTTCAATAAAAATCAACTTCTCATAATGACAGGAGCCGTCCCTTTTGTAGCTGAACACATTTCCTGATACACCTCATTGTTGATTTCCATGAAGTTTTTTCTAAGGTATTTATAGAAAGGCCTATTATTGCTAGCATTGTTGGGAATAAAAATACTATTATATTTATGTAGTCCTTTCAGAAACCTGTGCCAAGGGCCATCTTTTGGATTTATTTTACCTTCTCCTGGTTTGGCACTTGGCTGCTCACAGCCAAGTGAATATTCATTTAAAGTGAATGAATATGCTATGGCTGCAAATAATGTCTGTGTTGTATTTGGAACAGATCATTTCATATCATTTTTCCAGTTCTGGTATTGCAAATATAGCTTCAGTTCAAATGTCTGCACTCTGCTTCTATTTTTTGCACACTTACATAGAACTGAATCAGCTGAGAAGCATATATATATATATATATATATATATATATATATATAATTTGGACATAACTAGAAACATAACTAGAAAAAACAGAGTTTCTCCTTATATTCTATTTGAAATTATCCATGAAAATAATTTTGTATTTTTTAATGTATAGCTTTACTGTTTATGCCCTGTGTGAAATTGTTTTACAGAATATGCTGAAAATTGTAATCAGCAAGCAGTTTGTTAAAGATGATGCAGAACTGCTTTTGCACTAATGACATGTTGAAAGTCATCTCTTAGAGCACTCTTATAGTCCATTTATGTATAGGTTCTAATTCATAAAACTATGCTGTGAGACAAAATTCCTCTATTATAGGTCGGTGTAGAAAAACAAGAAAATAAAAGGCTTATTTATGAAGCAGAATCAGCTGTTCCCAT